ATTATTATTATTATTATTATTATTATTATTATTATTATTATTATTATTATTATTATTATTATTATTATTATTATTATTATTATTATTATTATTATTATTATTATTATTATTATTATTTATTATTATTATTATTATTATTATTATTATTATTATTATTATTATTATTATTATTATTATTATTATTAATTATTATTGTAATTATTATTATTAATTTTACTATTATTATTATTGTTATTATTGCTGTTATTCTTATGGTTTTTGATCTGACACGTTGATGTGAACGATCTCTTGGCCAACATGAAAATATTAGGTTGCTTTTTAATACCAAATTCGATATTAATATTAGGTGCAGAATAGCAGATGGCAAATATAAACACATAAGAACAGACGAACAAATAAGTAACGTACATTGAGGGAGTGATCGTGAAACAGAGATGAAGGTAAGGTGTGGAATTTGTGCTGTTTTGTCAAAATTCGAGAATTGTCAAAAATGCTGTTGAAGCTATATAGAGAAATTAATGTAAGTTCAATGAGAGCTTGCGTTCATCGTCTTTTGCAGAGAGCGATTGCCAATGCGAAATCTGAGGGCTCTTTCTTCCCTTTTCCAAGAAAGATTGGCTGGTGGTTTGCTGGTTAATGATTCATTCCAGAAATTCTTCTTCCTACAGTCCTTGATTCGAATCGCATACATTTGGGAAATATCGGTGAGTAGCGTGAAAAAGTTCAATTTCATTTATGAATCCCTAAAGTACAGCGAAGATTGAATTCCATACAATCACCCAAACAGACTCATAAATATGGCAAAAAGAAAAATGATTTTCATCATATTGTGCTTCATCTGACGAATTGATTTCCAATATTGCTTGCAGATTTACAAAAAACTTGATTTTAGAATACTATGAGCCTTGGGTTATTTTAATTAAACTATATCTAAGAAGTTTTGAAGATAGAGATTAACGGGAGGGAACGCTTTTGCGTTTCAGAATTTCCAAATGTAGAAGTTCCCTGACATTTTTTCACTAGTATGTTCGAAATGTTCCAGAATCTGTTCAAATGAACTCAAGCAATTGTCATACCTAAACCAATTGTCACTATGTCCTAAGCATCGGTAAAGTCTTTGGGTTTTATATAATGAGAAAAATGGGATGTAATGTTTAAAATGTTTGTAGGATCTCCCATGAGATTTGAGTTAGAAATATCATTGTAATGAGTTAGATCATGTTAAGGATAAAACATTTCTGATATCGTCAATATCAAAGAAATGATGGTAGTGTTCTTCAATAAACACTAGAAGGGTAACAAAATGTGCAAAATGGTAATTAGTACCAGGTAGAAATATAATTCATAAATTTAATCGGAAATAAATTAGGTTTCATATTCATGTTTGGTAAGAGCAAGATAGGACATATTTTCGTGACTCAAAATCGATTGACGAAAAGGTGACTGTCTCTAATGTCTACGGAGCATTACATACAGTCTAAAGATATGTTGACTTAACAAAATGGTGATCATCTTTCTTAAATTAATCTGGGAAGGAAGATTTGCCAATTTTCATTTAAAATGTAAAATTAAGCTTGGAATCCTCATTTCATGAGTTAGAAAGATGATTTGGTCACTTAAAAGGAATGGAAAAAGAGTGGCAAAAGGAACATAAAAAGCTAATTAACAGGATTATCGTTTGGATTTTGTGGACAGGAAGAGACGATGATGGATGCGGTATTGGTTGTTATTGTTGATGACGATTAGAAAGAGAATGGAGTTCTGGCCTCGGTCTTAAAGCGAAAGCAATCTCATTTTGTTGGTGTAGGGGATTGCGGAAATTTCCTAGCACCGCATCCTATCCACAAAATTATTATCAATAACAAAAGCTAGATAGTTGAGTTGGATACGGTAAGGCGAACTTAGGCCAAAAGCGTTATGACTCTTCAGGCTCACGATTATCTAATTAAGCCATGAACTAGATTTCCGGAGGCTGCTTTTAATAGATTTCATTTCTCCAGTCTGCATGTTATTAAGCGTTGCTTTTCCCCTCGTGTAGAGTTCAGCTTCATTGATGACATTGGTTTACTAATCAATCGAACGAAGCTCTTTGACCAAGCTTTCTTCCTTTCAAATATTCATCTACTTTTTTTAAGCTAAATAAGCACAATCGAAGAAGCCACAACTATAAAGTTGTTCTTTTCTTTAGCCTTAACTTTCAGTCTTTTGGCATAATGCAGATCGTTTATATTCTCGATTGAGAAAGCAATCCGGCAAAGCTTCTCTTGCTAAAGCTCACAGCATTTAAGCATACATACTACATATGTATCGTAGCTCAATGATATGCAGATTTAATCCTCGAGCTTCTTTAAAGGCAAGCAAAGTTCTTCAAAACATTTGGACACAAGTTCTATGGCCATAATTGTCCCATCCTTTTGATTTTACTTCATAAAATGCTATGAACAAGATTGCCTCAAAAGTATTTCTGTAAAATATTTTCGAATCACAATTTATGTTATATTTAAGATTGTTGTATTGTTAGAGATTATGGATTATGAATTAAACAGATAGGACTAAGTCAGGAAAAAACTCACTACTTTTCGATTAGGGAGCAATGTTAATCAGTATTTTTGTCTTGAAAAGTAATTTGCCTTTCAAAGTAGTAAATCTTTTTTGCAAACTCTCACTCCAGTTATTAATGCGTATTGAATTATTCATTGCCATTCATCGGACATCTCACATGAGCCCAGTTTATTTCTTTAATTCAAAACAGGCCAATGGTTCCTGGTCATTCAGCAAGCATCATTAAATAGATAGGATAGAAAATAAAAAAATTTACTTTGTTTTAATCTTCATTGATAATTACTCAATCCATTTGAATGTTTTTATTTTTACCATTTGAAATTCTTACTACAGGAAATGCGATATAATCCGGTATTTCAATTTGAGAAAAGTAAAAATCTAAACAATAAGAAAAGAATGAGTAAATTTATTGATTAATTAGAAACTCATTGAGTTAAATGACTGATTGAGAATCATCAAAGATGATTTTTAATAATCCTCTTTTTCAACTAAACTAAGATTGTTTCTAATCAGTTCGTCATCAATTAAATTTATTCTGTTCGTCCTTGAAAGTGATAAATAATTTGACCAATACTTGAAAAGTTCTACTTTCATTTCAACAACGATGACAAATGAAAAGTTGATCAATTATTGCTGATCAAATATGAGAGATGAGGAGTTACATATTCAAATATATAAATGAGACACTGAAATTAGAATCCTTCTTTCACTTTTGGAGGTGATTTTAACATTTAAAAAGTAGAAAAGGCTTATAAAAAATAGACTTCTTAAATTCAGAAAATTGGTGGTCAATATTAAATGCATTTACACCTAATTTCTTATAGCAAAATTAGATGTCGTAAACAAACTGATCAGCACTTTTTTGTGCCAAACAGTAATAATGAAAACGAAACCGTTTCATGATTGCTTTTGACCAACGTCGTGGCTATTTACTTAAATTTTGTTACAATAACTTCGAGTACTTTATTCATGAGAGTATGTCATCATATAAAGCTCACCTCATTCAATGGTCATAATGTCATATTCTTACCTCAGAAACATACCTGGGGATCTGCTGCAGCTTACTTTTCCAGAATTCATGCTTCTCACCCCACCCGTAAAGCTATTGCAAGCTTCCGCTATTTGGGCTCAGGATTTGTGACATCTATACTGGAATATATGCAACATTGGCATTTCCCTCTTCCTCCAAGTGCTATCACTTTTTACTTATGAACTTTCCTTCTCCATTCCCTCCTTATTCCCCTTGAAATTCCAATCTATCTGAACTTCTACAAATGACTGCCATTTAGCAGCATCAGCAATAGCTCAACTGCGCTTCCCTTCTCCGCTTTTCGCTTTTCCTTACACTTTCTTTTCTTTTACAAGATGAAAAGAATGGTAGCCGATAACCGGTTTTCATAGTCTACCAATCAGTCTAAGAAAAGAAGAGCTTGTCATTGTAATCATCATCATTGCTTAAGTCACAGGAGTTCCTTTCGGCACAAGAAGCTGATGTCCTATGATAGGCTCCATTAAATCTTGATGATGAAGCTGGAAAACTTTTGAGAAAAGATGGACTGCGCTTTGTGACCTCTTCTTTTCTGACCGATGTCATCCAATCGCTTTTGTTTTGATCCTCAAGTAATTTTCCTCAGAAGGAACAAATGCTTATTTAGTGATTCTAAATCTGAACAGAAGTGTATCACATAGGGCAACACGCAATCAGCTATTCTTAAGAAATCGCACTTGAAAACTGGAAATTGACATATTAAGAGAATGAAGGTAGCACTAAACTTACCCTCAGATGTGTTGGCATAGTGGAATTCTTTTCATTTTCAAATTTAAAAGCACAACAGAGTGGAAGCATGTTCTTCTCCCTATTCATGCTGCCTTTCACCTTTCCTTTCTTAACCTGCATTCTAGAAATTGAATGAAGGCAACAAAATGTATGTACAATCATACAACAACAGTCAAAAGGGATCAGGAAAGAGGAAGATAAATAGATAGTGATGGTGACATATTCCAGGTTGTAAATAGCTCCATCCTGTCCTGTCACCTGAAACGGTGATTAAACTGCTAGGGTGATATATTGTACAATTCTTTTATTTCACCACCACAACATTGATCATCCTTTTGATTATATATACATTTGATCACATTACATATAATTTAGTGATATTAGCTGGTTTTTTATATATATATAGCCAACTAATATCACTATATTTTGTTTTCACCAAATGAGACTCTCCATCGCTACTACCCTATCAGTTACTGATTTCTCTTTTTCCTACATCAAATTTGGTGATCACCGTAAAGAGAGCAAGTATATAAGAAATAATCTATAGATTAGTACTAGAGGTTAAATTATTAGAAAAAAGTAAAATTTTAGCAGAGACCGGATAGACGAGTTTCCCTTTCCTCTGTGTTACACTCCGTTGCACAACTTCCACTTTCCTTCTGTTCAAAGTAGATTGAAATTGCCCTGAAGGTATCTAAACAACGAAGTTCAAGAGCTTCGCCGAAGATGTTGCCATCGTTTTGACTACCTTTACCTTACCCTCGCCATTTTCTTTTTCGATCTGTTTTTGTCATATTTCTTTCAGTATCTTTATTCCCAGTTCTCCTGTCTTTCAACAAGCGCTGACAACAGGTATGTGTTACATAATGCTTTCCATGCGCTAATTACTATTTTTCGATCGGTTGACAAACAATAACTACCTATTGTGCAAGAAGAATTGTTACTATTTCCTGACACTTGTCATTTGTTCCATTTTGAAGCAGCAATGGCTAAGTTAATGCATGAAAAGCAGTCTTTAAATTACACCCATTGGCTTAATTGGTTACCATTTATCTTTCAGCTAATTAATTTAACAACTGTATTACAAAACTGTAAGCAACAGTACAACATAACGTAATATTTGCACTTGGAACGCTTCACATGGTGGAACTGATAATTATAAATCATAGGTGGAGAACGCTGCGGTTACTATTGCTACCGCTACTGCCAGTTCTGCTAATTATTTCTTCCTCGACAAACTTTATTCCCCAAAACTTGTATGACATTTTGAATTTGATAGTTATTCAAGATTTGGAATAGTTATCAGGTTTCTTTGAATAAGCATACTTATCTCCAGCACTACAATTCATAATCAATATCAGGTTATCTTCAATCAGAAGTTCTAAACCGATGATTTCTTCGAATGTATGTCTCTAGTGACACAATCTTCCAAAATCAACTGCACATGATGTGTTTTTAAAAAGGAAAAAATTAAGCCTACTTTTGGACTTTTTTTTAATTCATGCTACTGTTTTGCCTTAAAATATCAAGTAATCTTAAGTTTGTCCTTTTTCCTGACATTCTAATAACTTTCTTGTGAAGCCTGGCTGAAAAATGAGAACTTCAGAAGCATATGACAAAATTTTATTTACCTCATTCATTCCATATCTATCACTACTTTTCCTACCTAACCTTTTTACACTTTTTTATTTTTGCTCTACTTCTTCCCTCTTTCTACACCTTACTCTCGAATCCTTGAAAGAATTAGTTCGATTTACAACATTTGAGTAGTGATTTAAACAAATTGCTATGACATGTTTTTGTTAAATTAACTATTCTCGTCCATTTTTCGTCGCTTATCTCAAATTGACCTAAATAGAAATAGCAGAATATGTATGGTATGTATAGATAGAGTTAATCTAATAATTGTAAGACAAAACAATGAAGACAGCTAGAAGTCAGTATCTGGCCGTAGTTCTTCAAATCAATCATGGAAAGAGTAGTTGTAGGTTTATGATAAGAATATCTTGGCTATGATATATAAGAATTAATAGCAATACTGTGATATGTACTGTCAATTGAATTCAAATAGAGAATAGAAGTGGTTGTAACTCGAGACGACCCACATAGCTGCGAAATGATTCCAAAGGCAGATAGATGGGTTTGGGATTCAGTGAAGAGGCTATGAGAGTGTCTCCGAGAGATTATATTGAACAGTTAAATTAACATTGTGTTGATCTCCGCCAATCTATCCAGTGATAACTGAAATGGACAGAGAAAATAATATAACGCTGCTTTTAGTATTTGCATAACATTTTTTTGTCTATCTTTAAATGATGGAGTTCCTTAGTGAGGATTAATTTCTGGGATATCTTCTAACATCTCAGTTTCCAAATCATTCCCTGCCATTTTCCGGAAATATCATGGGATACATTGGACAGACATATATGTACACGATGAACAGTGGTAGCAGCAAGCAGTCCTGCAATCAACTGTTTACTTTTGGAGAGCTTTCAGGCGTCGGCATTGCTCTCCACTACTTTTTGTCCATATCAGCATCAATAACTGCTTTTCCTTCCCTGATATATTCATCACCATCATCGAGCAGGCATTGGGGCGAGACACTCATCCGTACACATGCACAGACATGTACACACACACACACACATACACACACACATACACATACATACACACACGTACCCGAACACACACAGACATACATGTATATTCACTCATTCGTAATCAATATGCCCAAAACAAGGGTGGAGTTCTGAATTTCGGGGATTTATAGCAAAGCGGAGGAAGAGGGAATCAGGGGCGGAGGAAGAATTAAAATGCAACAAATTCCACACCAATATGTTGAGCTCCCTCCACAGTTTAATTTATGATCGCTAAGCTGCTTGCTACTTCTATTTCAATAGTGGTAACTAATGCAGGTGAAAATAGATTCGGATAGTTCCATAAAACAGGGATATTCCTGAAAATCAAGGATTATTATTGTTATTCTGTTGTTGATGTTATTGCTACGATAATACACTATCAGCACTTCTCTTGCTGCACATACTCCTGTTTAGATAAGTATCCTAAAATAATTCCTATACCGTAATTGTCCTAACATGAACTTTTTAGAAATGCCGTTGTTGACAGTCATCCATGGCTCAATTGTCTTATAAAATTTGCTATCTTCTTTGAAGTACAACAGATGAAAAGGAAAGTGATCCATGCTGCTGCTGCTTTTAGCAAGCTAGTTTTTACGGAAATTTTATTTCTTCTGCTCTTCAACAACTGTTTAAGAAATGAACTGAACTGCGAACAGAATTGAAATTAAAATATGCAAATGGATTACAAATTACACTTTTTTTATGATGCTATTCAGGAACTTTTAACTCTCTCTTCAGAGCTGATGAGTCAGAAATCGGTAAAGTAGGGATAGGTGATGTCCCCCTGTAAAATAGATAACTACCCAATTTTCGTTCATCAATTAGACAAGCTAATTGATTAAACTTAACAGGTTTCAGTGGTATTGCTATTGGCTGTCTAAGAGAACAGTGAACTTCTGATCATCCTGATGATGATTAACACTTTTATCGTGTATTGCACTGTGATACTACAAATAATTTTTTAATGAGCAACAGAAGTTATTCAGTGAGAAAAAGAACAGGACAATGTAAATAGCTATAATTCAAAGAAATTTCGTCTTACTTTTATTATAAAAGCATTTTTTCAAATAACGCATAATCCGGATTTGTCACTTCTACAAATCGTCATCATTGACTTCTCTTACGAATTGGTTTGTACCAAAAACTTGATTTTTATTTATTATGTTAGTTTCTTTTCCTGTTTTTAATCAACTTCCATGATATATGAACTATTAGTAACATTTTTCCGTCTTTCAAATCATCGATTCTGTTTCTTGCATATTCAACAGCAAATGGATGAAATTGTGTGCTAGAAACTAATTGCTAGCTACTGTGTTGTGTATTATCGTATTCGTATTATGTTGGTAAGATCCATTTCTAAAATTGCTAATTAATAGCTATTCAAAATTGCTGATCATCAGCTGTTTCTCTAATTTTTCTTGTTTAAAATGGTAGAAATTACAGTACACAAGCTCTTGCATATTGCTGCTACTGATTAAAGAAATGAAAAAAGTTGAAGTTAGAGTGTTAGTGAAAACCTATTGCTATTGGTTTAACAAATTTATTTCGATTTTATGATTTTAAAAAAAAATGACAATTATGGAACTAATCAGTAGGGTAGTTTACTAAGCTTCATTTTGGTAAAATGAACATTTATAAAATCATAATGTCATATTTTATCAAGGAAGTATAAAAGTAATAGGACAGGTGACACATGCTGGACTATTACTTATTATTCAAGAATGAAAAGTGTGAAGCAAAAATGGTAGTAGTTTTTGTTCAGTTCAAGATACATTGAATAAGGAAATGAATATGATAAATCTTAGCATAAGCGAAGAGAAACTTTTACGATCTCCTCAGTGACACCATACGCATGCAAATTAACATTCATGACGATTGTACAATCAAACAAACTAGTGTAAAGATAAATCTTGCCATCAAAAAAAAAAAAAATGCTTTTATCATGGCATGACAATATCATTACCAATAATTTGACTATTCGTAAAGTTTAGTTTTCATTATTGTTTTTTCGACGAAAATCGTCATTTTATAGCATTTTCTTATGATAACTGTCACCAACTCCAGGTTTACCGCAATCTCCACTATTAATAAAAATTTTCTGAAAAAAAAACCAAATAGTTTCATGATGTTTGATCTCCACTCATCTGCTTGTTTTCAGCATAATTTATTCACTAAATAAACGGCTCCATTATTATCATGTGTGTTATTATCACCGTATTCGAAATCATCATTGATATCACGATTAGCTATCAATTTAATTCAAATGTGATTTCTTGAAAAGTTCATCATTTATCTTCATTATTCATCTTTTTTTAAACCAAATATAGTTAGAATAACTATTAAAAGTCGATCGTTGTTTTCAGTAGAAATGTTAGCATCATTATCATATTATCACTATCGTTATCGTGCTATTATCATTACCATCAAAAACATCATCTTTTGGTCGATAGTGACATTAAACGAAGAAAGCGGTGCATGTGTATGTGTGCGCACCTGTAAGAAGCGGCTTTCACCTTCATTCCTTTTCGATTTCCACTTCTTCCTTTTCATCGTCTTTAAAAATTTGTTCCAATCCGCTAAAACCAGTTATGATTTGTCTTTCACTACTGCTCCTACTTATCTGTACCTTTTTTGGTTGTTTGGTGATGGAGTGTAGCAGGGAGGGTCTTCTCTTCCACCTTCATTTTCACATCTCTCTCTTTCATTTTAGCCCTCTGTAGCTGCTCTTCAACCTTTTTTGAAATACTTTCTTCTTCATCTCCTTCCACAACAACAACAGCAGCAGTGACAACCCTAAATGCTTCCCATATCACATTCACCAATGTCATCTCATAACACGACAACAGGTGAAAGTTACGTAAATGCTAACGTTTACTGTCAAAAATTCGATTTTTAATTAGTCCTTATAACTTTTTAAGATATATTTTTCTACTTTGTTTTATATGGTATAGTTGAAGAGATTATATCAAGGTGAAGAGGATAGTTGTGATATCATATCAGGATGAAGAGTGTAGTTAGTGATATTCACATCCAAGATTCAATAGGACAGATCGAACAATTAAAGTCATCAGTAATAACATTAGCGCACAACTGTTCACAAGAATATCATGAACTATTTGGATACGTGCATCTTTCAAGTTCATATATGACCCCCAGATTCTTAAATGGAATCTGATGACAGGCACTCTTCTGCACCAGAATGGCAACCTGAATTGTTGATGTCACATGTCGATAACAACCTACAGTAAACGGATAACATATATACTAGTAGTTAGCCAGAATACGGTAGAGAAAGGGATGCAATGATGGCTCCCATTAAGCTCCTAACAGCCGCTCGTATCCTCAGGACTGCGGGCAAATCCATTTCCAATGCATGAGGGCGTGGCTCCTATTCTAACGGTATCTCTGGGCCTGAAGCCTGCAGGGCGGAGTCCTGAAAGAAGGATGGCTTCGCTGCCTACAGATAGATATGTATCGCTCCCCAATTCTATCCTTGATTTAATCAGACAGTCAGCGGGCGGGTGGCTCACTTTCAGAGGGGAAGGGAGTCAGTGATCATCGCTTCGGATAGGGTAGAGCTGCTGCTACTGCTCCTGCTGCTCCTGCTGCTGCTGCTGCTGCTGCTGCAGTTGCTACAACGGTGACAGTGACGATGGCGGTGACGATGACGGCGACAGTGAGGTGATGGTGTTTCCTTCCTCCCCTCATCCATTTGCTTACCTGTGATAGCTGCTGATAACGTAATGATATGCCATCCATCCATCTATTCATCCATTCAATCATTGATTTATTTCGGCCATCCCTCACTATCATTCTTATCAGCAGCAGTTGTTTAACTCCCAATCGTCAGCCACCTTTTTGATAATAACCACTTTTATTCCGCACCGTTTTCCTTCTTGATTCTAAGTGTCAACAACGAACTAACCCAGATTATCTCTACCAGGTCATCTGTTACTACGTAATAATATCATTTCCAAAAAAAATCGGTCTGAACTTTGCAAAATTAGTCCATTTTAGTTCCTGAAAAAATGTTGCAATTTAAAGCATTTCTCTCGAGTGGCTGCTTCTCGAGATTTTGAATATTATAACTGCATTTCATTGAAGCTTTTATTGCCAAAATGATCTCAAGCTAATTTCATCTAAATCTGAAAATATTTGAATTTTTCCAACTTTCATTCGAATAAGTGTGTCGCTTAATTGAATTTTATTTCGGTTTAAGGAGAATTATACTAGAAAAGAAGTTGAGTTATTTCTCTGTGACAGATAATCATCGAATTTATAAATTTGCTTTTTGCGGTTCCATTGATAGAAGATACTCCATTCATTTGTATGTTATGCTGTCACAGTTCTCCGATTAATAACAGATGCAAAAATTTTTCACTATGCATAGTAACTGCTTTTGTATTCTTTATTACTAATTATATTACTACTATTTCCTGAAATGAATTTAAATTTTTTTAGTAAATATGCGATGCCAAATTTTTTGAGGAAATAAATAGCAAATGGCAATAAAATTAATTAAGGACTAAGGCCATTTTTAAGAATAACAGGTGTCAGATTTCTGTTTTTTAATTCTTGAAAAATTTGTTTTATGTCCTTTTTTCACCTTAAAGTGACCATATATTCTGTTTCCTGACTTATGTCACTATTTTAATTACCTGAACATTCTGAACCATATTTTCATTATCGGTAACTCAATTATCCATGAAACCCTGGACGATATTACGAATGAATTAGAATACACCTTGCGGAGTGATGAAAAAACAAACCATAGCTCAATGCATTTCAGGACAACTGACCGAGAAGACGGGCTAAAACCACATTTATTGTTATCAACATAATTATCACTGCAAAACCCGTCGCCCGCTGGTCCTTATTTAACTTATCTTCTGTCTCTAATCAGAATTTTGAAATATTTCGACACTTTTCTTCTTTTCTTCCTTCAAATACATTGTCCCAAACAAGTAAGTCGCTTGGTGTTTTATCATTGATCAATATCGAACTTAAGTTTAAATTTCAAATATTTATTAGTCATTTATGCAAACAATTTACTGCCCCTGTTAATCAGACCTAAAAACCTTGATGAAGCCTATGGGTAGAAGGTACCCGAAATATGTTTCTTTGGATCTTCTTCCAGACAGTCCCAAATATTGTGTTTCAAAATTATTTGTCAAATCTTTGCATAGCTAATATTTGGGTTTGTAGAAAGAGCTGGATTTCTTGCGGGCCACTCGAAAGGATTCAGAATCCCGCTCAATATGAGTATGTTCCCGGTGCGCGTTGTGGTGGAATCAGTTCGACCGCAACATTGCCTCACTTGCGCACGTGACGGTCATATGCTTGTTGATTCCTACGCAATCGTTTCCGGTGCGACATTGCTTAGTCAACTAGTGGATACAGTGCTTAGTGCTTTAGGCATGCCACAATTGGCCGTTAATTCGAAAGGTTGATCTTTTGACATTTATTTCTTACTTTAAGTCATCTTACTAATGGAATGACTTCGGGAAGCAAGTTTATAAAGTTTTTTTTGGGTGCTTCGAAAGTATATAACAAAATTCTATTGATTGATTTTCAGAATCTCCAAACACTGTGATAATGTAACATCTTTTACTCTCAAATATATTTTATCCCTTACCACTTCTTTAATTAGCCATATGAACCAGGCTTATCTGGCATTATCCTTACTGCTGCTTAAATCCAAGCCAGAAACTACATCTCCTGGCAGTAACAGTAGCAAGCTGCGTTTATGTTGGGCACTACTAATCCCCTAAAAGAAGCTAAAGGCTATTATATCCATTTGTCGTCTCTCTTTTGAAAATAATTCAATCGCAGATTAACTGGGATTTCGATTCCTTCACCAAAATTAAATGTCAATTAACAACTATGTACAAACTACATTTTTTTCATTTGAATTAAATTTGATTTCAAATGAATGCTTATTTTTTGCATTTTTCTAATTTTTTGTTTGATAGAATATTCAAGAGACAGGAAAGAAGTAAAGGATAAGAGAAAGAAATTTTATCCTTCTACCCTGCTTTGTTTTTACTGTTTTTTTTAATTCTATTATCCATTTATTATTGACTAATTACTTGTTCACTTCTTTATTCCGTTTTGCAACATTTTATCTACAAATTTCCGGACATCATTTTTGATTTAAATTAATTAAAATAGCTGTAAAGTAACTGTACTTCTTTCACACACACTTCAATATCTTCGCTTCATTTATAAGTTTCAAAAGAGAAAATTTACTTACTTATTTAATTACAACAGGAACTTATTCTATTTAATACAATTTAAATCCAATGTCACTCTTCCATCATTATGGAAATAAATAAATCCTTTAAATATTCAATCAGAAATCTCAAGTTGCAATATTTTCGACTGTACTTAAAAAGTTAGTAAAGGATCCATTCACTGATCCAATCATAATCGTTATCATCATCGTCACTATTGCTATTATAATGATACAATTATTCTTCAGTTTGTTGTTTCATCTGTCAATAAATTAGACGATGGATCTATCTTCTATCTTCCGATGTCGAAAGTTAGTGAAATTTTTTGAAACGCCCTTGAAAAACTTCGCTGCTACGGTTGCTATCGAAAAAGATGAGATCTATGTATTATGTTTGTCGATCCCATTGCTTAGCACTACAGAACAGGTATATTCGTCCTTACCGTCCCTCGATGCATCCAATTTGGAATTTTTATAAAACTCCGTCGTAGCCGTCGTTATCTGGTCGACGACATTGTCATTGTTTAGGATAGACTCAGGTTTGCTTTTGAGGAGAGAAAGGAGGATGAGGAGAAGGAGGAGGAAGAGAAGGCGACAGCTACTGCAGACTTATGCATTTTTCAAGGTGAGCCAGGCGATTTCCGCGATCTGAGATGATGATAAAGTCGAAGTGACAAGCACTATGCATACTACCCGATTTATCCTTGAATTTGCTTTTTGTAGAACGAAAGATGGGCAGGAGAGAGAAAAGGAGATGTCGGAATAGAGGATAGAACAATTCGATTGGAAGTTCCTTCCCAAGTTAATTTTTCCAGATATGGCTAAGGAGATCAAACATAAATTTCATAGTGAACATTTGATTATGAGCAGTTGACAGCTATGGATGAAAACAACATATGCAATTAGTGCATTTCCTTGAAGCATTGTTGGTATATGGTAGTATCTATCTTTCTTTAAACATTTAAAATTCGATTATGGAAAGTCATTTGATAGAGATGTTAAACAGAGGATTTACTTTTTATCTTTCCAAATATTCAAAGCCAATGATAATTTTAGAAAAAGACTTTGTACAAGAGAGCTGATAAGTTAGTGATTAAAAAAAAAAATGATGATTTTGCATTATTTCCCATAGATCACAGATCATCTGCTATTTACTGTTGGTCCTTGTAAAACTTTTCGAATTTGTTTCAAATCAACTTATAGCGCAAAGCCTCTTGCAATTCTCAGCACTAAAATTGATTTTTAAAATCAGTGGAATGAACTGTTAGCTTGTGCTTATTGTGTACCATTACTGGTATAAGTAGTATCCCATCTCTATAATTCCTATTTCAGTAATTTGATTCTCAGTAACTAGCATAAGCTTTATAGATTTATCTTAAGTGTTTGATTTAATTTCATCATCTCAATGAGTGTCTTAAGTTAGAAAAAATTTGGCGAAGTTACAGATTGAAATCTTGGTTCAAAATATCTTCTTTTTTTCTCATACTGCGCCTATATCTTCAATCCTATCGGTAGCTTCACCTTGGCGTCGCCGATGTGCTGTCATTTTTGTCAAGGTCATCTGCTGTTGTCGAATTGTAAAGAAAAGAGACATGTGATTTGGAAAAATTCTAAAAATCTCTTTTGCATTGTAGTCTTCGTTGAAGTTCGAATATAACTGGATTGCAGAAGGCTAAACAAGAAACAGGAGGACCAGATAATCTGTTTTCATCTTTATAAACTTTTCAAAAGTTAATTTAACTAGTAATTACAGAATTTATTTGATACTTTAGTGCTACTTTGTTTTCTCTATGACCTTCCCAACACATCTTTCCTTTCCAATCAGTTGTTTTGCATCTTAGTATCATTGTCATTCATTACTCATCATATCCTTTTCTTGCCATGTTATCTTTCTACTCTACCTTTTCCTAGTAAAAGAGGATTTGTTGTCGCTAATTATCTTTGACATATTCTCTAAGAACTGACAATTTATCTCATCTTTTACCCTTTCTATCCTTATCTATGCCATAAAAGTGCTGGAGAGATACTATTTTATTACACTATAGTCTATTCGGTCAACCATTAAGAGAGCGGATCAAGCCTATATATCCTAATTGTAATATAATTTCACCTAAAACATTGCACAGAACTCTGAACTTTCTTTGTCACCTAAAATATTATATTGCATGAATGATCAATTGATGAACATGAAAAAGGTTTACTTAACTTGTTAAATTATTACCCATTGCCAAAAAATATTTGAAACAATTCCCTGAAATCACACTGGATAGCATTCTGTAAAAAAACTTCAAATGATAATTTAGGAGGCAATTTTGTACCACATATGCATACAAATATACAACTATCCTTCATTACCTTACTTTACAGTCCACAAAACTTTCATCAGGTTTGTCTAATTAGAAAAAGTTATAGTTAATCTAGCACTGCATAAGAATTACCAATACTTTTCTTTTTTTTTTTTCAAGCGGTATAGCATTTGAGATAAGAAGAGCAGTGTTGTAAATGCACCTTGAATTTTTATTGCTTCACCTAACGATGACGAAGATCGCTGCGATTTGAGAATAAAGAAAATGGACCTGTTTTGTGGTTTCGTGGAAAATTTTGATGGAAGTAGAGAAAAAAAGCAATATCAAGGACGATGTTGAGAGGAGTTCCGGTAAAAAGGTGTTGTTTTTTGAAGTGCTTATTCCAGAACGGTAAGAGGGAAGGGAGAGGGTAATTGATAGAGTGCTTATTCCTTAAAACAAGTTATTAATTGGAATGAGATAGAGACGTGAAAGAGCAGGGGAAAACCGGGGCAGGGATACGGCAACGAAATATATCTTAGTAGTCAGGGAAGCTCTTCAACACTAAACATTGTTGAAAGAAAAAAAAAAAATACTGTCACCTATCAGGACCACAAAATGTCAGTAAAATCACGGATACAAGCAGAATAACATCATATCTTCTTCCTGTTTTCCTTTTATTACAGATGCAGCGATGAGATCCCTAAAAAGAACAAAATAACATATTTAAAAGTGCCAGCGCAAAACACAATATCATCTTATTCATTCCGTCTCCTCCTGCCATCCGGTAAAGCACATTATGTTGATAATTAGTAGCGGAGAATGGAAATCCAGAGGAAACTGGTTTTTTCTTAATCTTCGTGAGTCTTACATAACTCAACCTGGACAACAACTGGTTGACAATGGCCATGTAAATTCGAAAACTGAAAACTGCTGTCTATTTCACTACTCCTAATTTCTCATTCGAAAATAAGAGTACAAGTAGAAAATAAAGTATTGTGGATAAGTGAGGTAATTACAACTTTGAACTGAACAAAAACTAAGGTAGTGTTGCAATGAAACTCGTAACAATTATTGAAGTTCCATGAAAAGGTAGAAATTATGCTGAAATGAACTCCCAGTATTCAATGGAGAAGAAAAAAAACAAGAAAAATTGGAACAAAATTCGAATAAATTTTGAACTGAACTTTCTTTTGCTTTACTTCAATACAACTTACATTATCTGTTGGATGAATTCGATGCCCAAATCGCACTGCAAATGCAGTATTATTGATCTTCTCCTAGCAAAAATTGAACTTCTTTGGTAATAATGTCTTTTGTTATATATGTAAATTAAGCAAATTTACATATAATGCGTTGTATTGAAGGTAAACTTCTAACATAAGTGAAAACGAGATTTCCTGAATATGTAAGCAGTTATTACAGGAATCTTTGTTGAGCCTATTAAAGATTGTCATTTTTATTTATCATTAATTTGAAGATAAAATTAGCGAAGTGATGGCAGTAAGTGTAATGTTTAATGTTCTGTAAACATTTTGATCAAGACAAACTGCAAGAAGGGAAAGCATTATTGAATCTTCCAATTGATAAGGAGCTAGAAGATGGATCGGCTTCCAGTTATGTTGTCTTTATGAGACGGATGGATGGATGATCATAGTAGTGATGATAGTAGTAGTGATTATATTAATTGCGATAAGCTGATAAGAGTTGAATAATCACGTGGAGCAGAGCAGGACCAAAAGAGTACAACACATCATCCCATTTAATCATCAATCCCATGCAAACATACAAACTACTGTAGCTAATTCACCGCCTTACAAGAAGACAAACATTCCATTTGGACGGACTGATGAAGGTAGGGATGTGAGCTGAATGAGAAGCAAGCTTTGGATTAAATATTTTGTTGTGTACTATAAAGGGCTTCAGATATACCATTTGTTCATGTTTTATGATAAACAACACATTTGGGTCTTTATCACTTATTGATTTGATGAAATGCTTTCAAATGAGTGATATCAGTTGATAATTTATAATCAACCAAAAGTTGAACTAATAATACAGTTCATTTTTCTTTGTTCTTGCTTCAGCAGAATACAATTAATGAAGTGTTGTTTTAGCAAATTAATGTAATCAATGATTTGCAGGTTTGGTGCAGGTAGCAAATTGGAAGGCGTTGCCATTCGATCAGATTACGGATAATTTAGACGATACGGTGGAATCGTTGCTCAAAGATATCAGCAATCATATCACTCTTAAAATTTTAACTAAACAGTTCGTAATTCTTATTTTTAATTTTTGAAAGAGTTTTAAAAATATCGTACTTTGTTATCGCTAGAGCATTCTTCTGTTTAAAATTTCATAGTAGTTACATGTACTTTTTAAGCTCCATTACAACTTCTTTGCTAAGGTAGGACCTTGTCATTACTGCGTCGTTAGTACCACAAATGAACCAGATAATTAGAGAGGAACTTGCCCAAGTTGAATATAACTTCATGCGTTTCTCTTGCTGTGAATTTTTCGACCAAACGAGTAATTGGGTTATAGTTCTCAGGCTCCAATGTCTGGTAAGAAATGACCTTCACTTTGATAGGAATAGCTTAACGCTAGTTATATGTGACTTCATTGGAATATGACTTCAGGCTATTAGTGGTGGCACCTGGCTATGAGTCAGTAATTGTTTGGAGCGAAATTTCATTTGGAAAGGTTTCAATTAAAAGGTGCTGCTAACATAAGCATAAAATGCTCATTCTAAATTTATGGTTTTCATGAGAATGACACTTTCTGGATTGCTTAAACATATATTTGCGAAAGATGATAGGTGATATTTGCTCTTGTTTAAAAAGGATAAGTGAAAGGAGTTTTATGAGTGACGCAGCTATTGGCTTACTTAGTTCAGTGGTAAATTCATCATGCCAAGAGAGAAATATCCCAAAACAAGATGGCCAGGAAAGAGAAGACAAAGGAAAGGAAGGGAAAAGAGATAAGCCATGTTAGCTAACTTTCCCGTGAATCATCATCTCACCATACCTTCATCAGTTTTCTCTTCTATTCATGGACACTTAGAAATACATACCGTCGCGCCAGTCATAACGAATAAAATTAGGCCGATTAATAGATGATTTCTCGTCTGGTCGATATTTAACAACTGTTTACAATAGCGGCTTTATTCAGCTAAGGACATATGGATAAACAGTGCCGTGTTGTGTCCCTACCACTTTATTCTGTTTGAGAATCTGCTTGAAATAGAAAGTAGAATGAGACCGAATAAGTTTCCATCGATCGAGAAATAGGAAATTTATGGTTAGATCTATTTAAATAGCAGCCATCAATCCTTTTTTCCCCGATTCTTCCCTTTCCTATTTTGTCTTTTTTCCTGTACCCATAAACCATAGATAGCATACACATTCCTTATTCATATAGCAAATGCAAATATCACCGGAATAGAGGCACTCTCTGCTCGTCCGAGGAATGGAAGAAACATTCATTCATTCATTTTTTCATTCCTTCATCCTTCATTCATGCATTCATCCCACCTTCATTAGCACATAATCATTGATATCTCTGCTGTGATGCTAAGAGGGGGATGCATTTATGCCGTTTACTGCTTGAAGTATTCAGGAAGTTCTGAGGAACTCCATAAAATCTTGACCATTCCAAAATCACCATAATTCACTGGAGATAATCCTACATACCAAATGAAGAAAAGTCTGCAAATTTCTCACTCCACTCAGATTTTTAAATATCATTTCTCCGATTGTCACCTGTTTACACCATTGAATCATAAATAAATCTTAAAAGAATTTCACGATCAATACTTTGACTCATTACGGTTATATGAAACGATGTGATGTTTTATTTTTGTCCCAAAGAAAGAATAAAAGTAAAAGTAATTTCGTGTCCTTTTCAAAGTTTGCTACCAGTGAGAGTGGAAAAGGCGTAGTATATTGCACGTAAATTACACATGAACTGATTTATTGATAGTCCATCTGAAAGGCATTCATTTTACATAAATTTTAAATTCTGTTTCTAAGAGAAAGAAATGTAATAAGTAAAAGTGGGAAAGTTTTCAGGTGATTAGTAATTGAAGTAAAAAAATATGTTCCAGGTCCTCAACAGATGCGTCGAGTTCACAGTGTATATCGGATCTCAGGCAACGTCTTCTTAAAGCAGCAATTACCAAACAACCACATATCCTTTCTACTGTTGATAATCAACAAATTAAGGTTAATTTTCAGAAATGATTTTTTTTTCTTTCAATATTAAAGCATTCAATTTCTTGTTATTGATCAATATAACATATGATAACTGATACTGATTTATTCTTGACAAAACAGGTATTCAAAGGCTCTGTTTGGAAACTATTGTTTTTATCGTTGAAATTAGCAGTGTGTTGTTTATTTTTAGGGTTGAAATTGCTAGAAGTTTTACTGGCCTTCTTTTGCTTCGATAGTCTTGTTTATTGTTTACTGCCAGTTTTTATCATTCTAGGATTTGATATTGCAAGTAGTAGCCGGTGATGAACCATCAATGCTCAACTTTGATCAAATCCAGGCGATTAATGAGTGGTTGGAACAACTGGATGATAATCATATCGATAGAAAAAGGTTAATTTTATTTTGCTACTCCGAACATGCTTTTATTATGCCCTACTATTTGAAATGCAGAAAGACGGTGTTGGCGTACTGTCTCAAACAGTATTTTTAAACTAAGGATTAGATCCCTTTACCTAATGTAATTCATTCCCTAATTCCTTACTGTTTCGCTAATCCATTTAGTAGTCGCATTTCATTATTTTGGTATTCTTTTCATATTTCGTGACATTTTTGTGGACATTCTTGTTGTGCATAGTAGAAACCCTTTTTAACATTTAAGTATAAATATTCGCCTAATAAATGCATAGCAGTCTTCAAGAGAAATTGATTTCAAAGACTTTCATCAAAAGGTTGTTTTTCGATGAGTCATATTTCACCGGAACTTAGCACGGTTCTAAAAGAGAAATTCTCGAGATATACCATTTGTCCCTCGTAGAATGGCAAAGTTCTCATTGCTGCTTTTATCTTATCCATTTCTGCTCATTTCGTGATAAGTGGTGACTTAAATAATTTTTTAGTAGTGGAGGAAAATATGCATTGATTATTCCAAGAGGTAAATTTGTATTATTAATTATCTATTCTCCACTTTCCAGAATATCAATAGATATGATTTCCGAAAATTTTCAAATCTTTTAATTCGTTGTTTCATCACCATTTCTTACTGTCTTGCTTTTAAGTTTCTACTTGTCATTTCTGTAGCAGATATTACGCATTTCAAGCAATTATGCATCATAATCTCATCAAATGTCTGAGTACTGTCAAATTTCTGCAGCTGTTTCCGGTCTTAACACTTGCTATGATTCTCCCACTAACAAAAAATGAACTAAAGAGATTTAGCTCAAACGTTAAATCACACATATAATGAATAAATAAATAAACTATATGTATATAGAACCAGCGATCATCACAAATCTCAATGCAGCTGCTAACCGTTCATATGACAATTTTTGAATAATTTAACCAGAATGATTCATGCATTTTCTAAAGCTAATAAGGATGCAATATGCTTTAGAGAAGTAATAAAGAAAACAGGGATCATATAAGGAGTTAAGGATTAAAATGTGGATTTACATGAGAGAGAGAATCTTAAACAATCCATTCTCCGCCATTCTTCTATTAATCATAACACTTATCTTTCATTCCATTCATTCAACATCCTTTTTTCATTTATTTTATAAACGTATTGATTCAGTAATCTTTTTACTTTCACAAATGCATTTTTCGTCTGTAGAAGTTGAAGTTGATAAAAGTAATGGGAAAGAAGAAGGAGGGAGAGAGAGAGAAAGCAAGGAGGAGAGAAAGAGAGGAGAAATTTGGGAGGATTTGATTCTAGTTTAAAGGACCTTTATTTGTACAGTATGCATTTAGGATTTATGTGTTGATAGTATTTCGCTTAAGATAGCTTGCTTACTGGCTGACTAGCTTTGTGAAAGCTGAAGTTTAACTAACTACTGGCAAAGAAAGAGTAGGAGATTAAGGTAGAAATAGATTTGTTGTGTACTTAGTTGTGAAAGTGAAAGAACAAAAGAAGTGAACTCATCTTCGATCATATACCATGTAATTGTTTACTTCAACAATCTACTACAATTTTCCTGCTTAACTTTATTTTTAGTCGGATCATAATAATGCAAAATGATGAATCTGAAGTGAAACTAGACATGTCCAGGAATGTCTCTTAGAGATATCAACAACCATTATTGCTCAATTTGAATTAACTCTGACAGTATCCTAATTAACTTTTGCTCTTTACCATATTTTCGATAGTTTGATTAACAAATTTAAGCAACATTCAAGGAAACATATCGTATGCTCAACATATCAACAATGATACTGTCAGAGTTAGTTCAAATTCCTTTTCTTCTCTATACAGGAAAAATAAACAGCTTTTTGTTTGTTGATTTGAATGAGTACGGAGTTGACTGATGTCTAAGTACTAGCTCTCTAAACTTTTTGCGAATTTATATTCCCACACATTATCCTCTCCAGCTGCATTAGCCCTTCCTCGTCATTCCTAGAAAGAGATGGTTAAATTTATGCATCACATCCATCCCATCTACCGTCATCATCATCATCATCATCATCATCATCATCATCATCATTATCATCGCAACTTCGCCAGTAAACTATTACTAGCACCTATCGCTTTCGACCGAATACGGAAACAGTCGAATGGTTTGAACAAATCTGAAAGGCTGGGAGCGATAGTTTTTTCTGTTGTTAACTATCCTAACCATAACTTCTTCTCTTCATATCTCATTTGTTAGATATAATTTTATTCAAATTTGAAGAATATATTGGTCCCGAAAAGAGAGAAAATAGTATTCTCCACAGTTATTTCTTTACTTCTTTCCAATTTATTTCATTTAAAAAATGATGACCGTATACTACTACTACAGACTGACTTTGATTATTACTTTTGCTTCTTGAAAATTATGATTGAAATTTGTGAAACTCATAAAACAGTAATTAGAAGTTAGAAGTTTGTGAAGAATGCGCCGAGGCAAGAAAATTGAAACTTGAATCTTTTTCAAAGCGGCATCAAAAAAGTTATTAACAAAATTAAGGTGAAAGGGAGAATGGATGGATGGATGTGATTGTTGATCAAGAATCGATTTCATTATCAAAATGTCTGATTTATTTCCTTCTTTGACTGCTTTTTGACTTTATGCTTCATTTACTAAAGCTTTCATTCCAGTTTAACGTAATTGAAACGCCCTTTGATAAGCATTAAATTTTAAAAAATCTACGGAATTTAGGGGATGGTGGGGCTAATTTTTTCTTATATGATATTAAAATTACAAAAAATACAACCAGATGTAGGGTGACACAAATTTTTCTTTATGAAGCCGAGATCTAAACTTGCTGAAATGAAAATAGGCGTGTAACAGGTTATAGTTTAGGTCTACCACAGGTTTCAATGTTAGCTTAATGAAATTTGAACTTATAATACACTAAGGTTTAAGAATTGGTGAAGCCACGGAGAAGTGGGCGAAATGTAAGCAATCAGATGTATTCGATAATATCCATTAGTAATGTTTGAAATGATTTCTGAAAGCTGAATCCATCGACACAAATGAAATATATGCGTACTGATAAGTTATATCAAAAATAGCTTTCCGCAATTATGGGTATTATCGAATTGTTGTGGATTTTTTTCACACTAATCAATCGGACAACATGACAACTGTTGACGAAGAAAGTAGTGCAACACATCAAATTACTCGTTCTACCTTTCCTTATCATTTTGTAATCACTGGTATCGTTCCTTCAGTGATTATCATCGACAACATCATCTTTCTTCCCCCACTTGCTCCTCTGTAGCTACTCATTCCAATTTCGTTCCCTTTAGGGCAAGTTACACAATACTTATAATCATCTGACGAGCGAGCACAGTTGATTAAAACTTACCCAATTTGCCCGGTGTCTGCTTTCTTCGCCCTTTCACTGTACCTCGTATCGTTTACTTACGTTACAGCAAAGGTTAAGAGCGGGGTTTGGGCAGTGATCAACAGTGGGAAACATCGAAGTCGGGTAGAGATGTAGATGTATCAACATTGATGCGATTGGCGATTGTGTCGTAAAGTGATCCAACCCAACTCAGACAGGCGATCACAGAACAACCTCTTTTGATTTGGCGCTGATGGCAGTAATGGCTTTCTCTAAACACTAAATTTCACCGTAAAAGAAAAACAAACAAAATTTCGGAGGGCCATTAAAATCAAGAGGAAGAGGAGGAGAAAGAGTAAAGGTATACGGACAGGTTGAGAGGAGAGAAGGACAGAGATGAAACGTAAAAAAGGTTCTAGGGATGCAGTCATGTAAACACTGCATTCCAATTTTGTGATAAAAACCAGTTCCCATAATCTTGTAAAAAGTCGAGGATAGGAGAAAGATTTAGCAAAACTTTCTTAAGGATTGTTTTCTAATCAATGATAATGACCTGTGGTCGTAAAAGTAGTGGACTTCTTCAACGATGCAAATGTGCGATTAACAAACAAACAAACAAACAAACATTTAACAAGTAAATAATTAATTGTAACTGATTAGCTGATGAATAAAATGATAAAACAGACTATAATCTCTTCTGGAAATTAATCGTGATTTAACCATTTCATGAGTTATTTGTTTGAAAAGCTTCGAAAAACATTTTTATACCAAAGAATTGAATTTGATTATATTACAGGTGATTCAAATAAGACTAATTGTATATGGAAAATTGAATTATCTTTTTTGATCTCGCCATATTGGGAAGAGGGAGAGGAGTTTGAGCAAATCTATAAAATCACGGTGAACGAGCTTAGGTTGGGGATGGATTTATGATGATGGCTTTCCAATGAAATAGGATTATCCATCGCCGTATGGCTATTGGTGTTTATATTGGCAATATTCACTTTCTACACACCCTTTGTTTCTCTCTACATTCCACTTTGCCGTTGAATATTTTAGATTATAAAGGGGTTGGAGAAATTGAGGGACCACTTAAACTCTAAATCCAATCGGCCTCATATAGTAACACAATAAATTTAAATTTGATGCCGACAGTGACAGAATTTTCAAGAATGGATTTATGAGGGCTTTGGAACTGGTAAGTGGATGTGAGCAACCAAATATGTAATTACAGGATTCGATATAAAGTTTGAAAATAACTAATCAAATTTTCCATCTTATAAGGGGTAGTACGCCAACTGCTCTATTTTCATACGTTTTCTTATTAAAATAATTACAAGAGGTGTCTTTCTCCAATAGAATTATTTAAATTTTTTTTACAATATAGTCATTCGAATTGTTAATTTTGGAGTGGTTTTTATTGAACGGAGGAGTGAGCAAATAATTGAAATCGTTGCAGTCCATATATCACAAGGTTCAATCATCTCTTGGAAATACCGAAATTGGAACGATGGTTTTGTAGCGATGCCAATCCATCCCGGCAGAAATTGATTAATTATATGAACGTACTCAATGGTTCCAGTTATCGGCGGCATAATGCTAAAGTAACATATCAGCAAATCTGTAACTGGTTTGCTAATCAACGAGCTGCTAATAGGTTCTGTATTCTTATTCATAACTTACATTTTAAATGATGAAGGTTATTAAAAGTCGAGAAATTTTACCCATTCCAACTAATTCGGGAATATTGGAAGAATTTGTAAAATGATAAATTGTATTTTTTGTATATCCTAATATCCACTTTTTGTGTACTAATATATCCTAGTCGGACTTTTTTCTTGTACCTAAATAAAGAAGAGGGCAGGTGTGACCGACAAGAATCATCACTTAATATTTTATAAAAACTTATTTTTAGTTTTTTCATCGACTAGATTAAGATAATTAGCAAAAGCTACCAGCTGGTCTTGCCCATTATTATTTGATTATGGACCGGTGCGAAGCATCTTATGTACTTCAAATTATCAAAATTCAAATTTCGAGTTTTTCGCGAAGCTAGTGTTCTCTTAAAACTAACTTTTAAAAATGGAAAAAATATTTTTTAATTTACATTGTTGAAAAGCAAAACAAGCTAATAAGAGATATCCTTAAAACTTATAATAATGCAGGGGGTTTTGAAATTGCTGAAGCATTTGAAATAAACGTTCAGTTTTGGAAGTTTTGGCTTTTGAATCTTTTAGCGGTACTTTTGTGCTGAAGTAATTTAATGTGATGCGATGGTTTTTCGAACATTCACTCTATTCTAATACTATCTTTGCGTTATAATAATTTTAATTATAGCATGGAATGACCGAATTTGGTTTGGAATATTTAGGAATATTAAAAAAAGATGGGAAAATATCCCAATGTGAAGTATTTAAATTTTTTGAATGAGTTTTGTCAGAAAAGATTTTGATGCTGATGCTCTACTAATTTCACTGTTGGATTTCTTTTGCAGAAAATCACCGCAATCGAATCATACTACTATTACACATTGTCCACCATCGGTGGCACAGTCATCCATTTTACTTCCACCCCAGTCACATTCCAGTCCATCCGGTGAATTCCGTCCAAAATTTGACTTTAATAGTTTGCTGGACAGCAAGCAGGCCAATGGAAGTACTAGTGAAGTAAGCATTTTGTTGGCATTTTATCAGTTGCATGTTTGATGAATGCGAATTGATCAAGTTAATTTTATGAGCTTTATTTTTAAAACAAATATGTGAGCAAAAATCATAAAAGGAAGCTAAAATGTGGTGGATGGTGACGTATGAAGTAAGTGTTCTCTGAAATATCTGACATAAATTTCTCCATCACTTTTCAAACTTCTGCATTTTGAAAAAACGAAGAAATTGGAGGTGAAACAAACGACCTGATATGTAATTGGACACAGATTTGCTTAGGTAACACAGCAAACAATTAGTATGGTATAAATATATATTAATTTCGAGTATATTATTGATTCTAGCATTTCGAAACAAATGAAGCTTTTGCAGCGTATCGAAGGAGGTTCAGAATCACCGACACCGAATGATGATGTTAGTGTTCATAGCGCTAGCGATTGTGGTTTCGATCAGGTTTCTGTCCTGAAACAGGTATCCTTATGGCAAGTTTCTTAAGTCACAGAGTCACAGAAGGTTTTCAAATCTTTTACGAGCTCGTAATGTTGCGTAATACTTAAAGATTGTCATAAATAAGCCTTTTTTAAGCATTGCATACCACCAGATACTTCTGTTAATGTACTTGAAAGACATGAATTCTTAGAGAACAGTATTATCTGTAATTTTGACAGAATTTAATTTTTTGACAGAATTCTGCAACCTCATCTCCGGAAATATCTTTCGACTTAAATGGTGGCCATGCGTCAGTATCGCCGAAACCAGCTGGTGGAGAAAATGTTGGACATCATCAGGTAACAAGTAATGGCAGTGGGAATGGTAACAGCACAGCAGGGCAACCACAACAAACACCGTCCAATACAGTCGCTCGATCAAGGTTAATGTTCGACCCACTCACGGAGTTACCAGTTCTAGAAAAATGGTTTGAAGAGAATCCACATCCTACTTGGCTCCAGGTAATTCCTTACAGCGGTTTGTTATTATTATTTGTAAAAACCATTGCTCTAAATACATTTGATACGATTGGGGCTTGAATTCATTTGTCTTTAATCTCAGTAAAAAAAAGACTAATTAAACCTGCAACTTGTCAATTGTGTTGTGTGAAGAAAGTCTAAATACTGCTTTTACAACTTTGACCACTTTTTGAATTACCGTAATCAAGTTCATCGAAGTGCGTTGTATTTTTGCCCACAAACACGGTTAACTGATTAAAAAATAAATATATAAACATTTGACAACTTGTGATCCATAGAAATATAAGAATCTCCGATATTTTCTCTATTTATGTTTATTCAAGCAAATTAGACTCTTATCGTGGGCATTTTTCGGTAACATTAATTTTTTACAATTTCAGATTGATCATTATACGGAAGCGCTGAACAGTTGTCAGTATAGACAAAGTTATCCACCAATCTCGACGCACAATGTCAAAATCTGGTTCAAAAATCGACGGGCCAAGTGTAAGCGTATGCAGACTGGCGATTTGAATTTGAAGATGATGATCTGAGACGTTTCCGCCTCATGAACTCAAAAAAAAGGCTGCACCAGTCTAGAATCTTGCTCAGTGAATAAGCTAAATGCTCGAATATATTGCTATGTATAATTGATAGAAGTGAGTATAAACAAAACGAACAAACCAAGCTGCTTTCATGCTACAGAAGGTTTTATGAATTTTATTTGTTGAGTAAATGCACTTCCAACTAGTAATGTGAATTTTGCAATTTTCTAAAAATTTTTATGGATAAATTAGTCTGTGACAGCTAATAGAAATATCCGTTGCTTCTGTAAGACTTTATGCCTTCTTTTATTTGTTATTTCTAAATCAAACATCTCTCAGTTTCTTTACTCTTGACCTTTCAGTTAAATATTTTAACTAGTGTATTTTTGTAAATTAATGAAAAGTAATAAATGATAGCCATCTAATTAGATCGAAGGATTCACTTTTGCGATAGCAATGGAGTAACGTAAATGTGGCGAGATTAAGACTGAATCTGATGAAGTTGTCGCCTGTATGGACAGGGTATAAAAGGATGATATCATAACTGTTTCAGGAATTTAAACAATAATATTTTGTCAAAGAAGGTATATTTTAGAAAGCTTGATAAATTATACTAGGAAAAGGAGCAAAACCAAGTTTACCACTTATATTTCTGAAAAAGCTGGCAATAATTCGATTAGATAAATAGTGATAGCAACTTCAATGTAGGGGAAAAATTATCAATTTTTAATGTTTTTTTTTTTGTCCATCTTAACTATTTCCTAATTCCTCAATTGCTCTAGTTGTTGACTTTAAAATTTTCTTAAATTGTATTTTTCCCTGATCTCATTTCTGTTTTAAGAGAAGACTTTTTTTACGCCTTGTCCACATTCTCCATCCCTTCACTTTGCGCCCCTCCTTGCCAAATTGAACCCATTCTCGAGGAGAACAATGTCTTTTATCACTGGGTAGAGTTTTTGATCACTCTAACCCACGGCAGTATTATTGGTTTGAATGTTACTCATAAAACAGCTTGATTGGGATTAGTTTTAATTTTTTACGATGTTTATCCAGTTGCAACCGATTCCTTATTCCTTGGTTATTTCCGGATTAAGATTATAACACACTATAAATAGAACATGATAAATTCGTTTCCTGATTCTTTCTAGCTGCTTTTTTCACTCATTATTAAATTTGTAATCTTCAAAGATATAGGGAAAAGCAGAATCTTCACTGAAAAATATTTCTTCAAGCGATTCCATAATTTTTCCAGGAGAAGGTTATTTTGTGCTCAGTCTTGTACGCAGAAATGATGTGATATTATTCATTGAATTATCTTTTTTTAATTGACGATATATATTATGATAAGGTATGATGTCAAATATTGGTATTAATTCCCTTTCATCATTTGGGGCTTTTCCTCAATTTGTATGTGATTTCGGGTTTCCGCAAAAATTTGCTTGTTCTCAATACTGTTCATGTACTAAAATTGAAAAGCAAACAATCATTTTAACAAAGGTTTGTATTTGTTGAAACCCTTCCATGCTGCTGCTGTTGTGCCTAAAATCCTCATTCCATTTCAGATTTTCCTCCATTTATACGTTGTTTTATTTGTAATACTGTAACTGTGCCGCAAATACTTCATTATTTTTGATTTCGACCGTCAAACAACTAAAATTAAAGTTCCCACAAAAGTGATAAGATTTTTAATTATCCCACCCTCCCTAGAATTCAGTTTGAACTTTAAAATCTCGATCATTTGTGATGACGGGTTGTACTCCCTTGAAATTACCAATTTTTCACCCCACTAATAATATATTTTACCATTTGTGCTAAAAAGAAACAAATTTTCGGTCATTCAAGTGCCTTACAGTTCGTTAAATGTTGATTTTTGTGCACTGCTGCTCTTGATTTCGTCTGGATTGGCCAAAATGGATTATAGAAGTTGATGGCCCACCCAAATTTGAGCTTTTTTCCAGGTTGTATGAAAACTAATAGTTGGATCACCAACTTGCTTATTTTCAATTATTATGTCCTGTTATACTCAACTTCCGCACGTAACATCTGCTGTAGTGCTTTAGAGAGATGACTTAGATGCGCTTTTTTCCCTACTTCTCACTGCTCGTTGCTCTAATTTTTCTGAGTGTCTGGTTATCATATATTTGTTGAATATACTGACGAATAAAAAGTTCCATGTCGCACAGTGCAAAATGATCCCGTAAGTACTGTTGCTTTTTTATATCAGCTTTGGGAGAAAAATCTTCATTCAGTTGATCTTTTTAAAAAGTTTTCATTGAAAATGCAAGACATACTTGGCTAGTCATTCTCTTATAGTTTAGTAGGCAACAATCGCTCTCGAAGTTACTTAGGTCAGAAACTGGCCAAATGCTAGCTAGACAAATGTAAAAAAGATCCACTGAATAAGGACAGTAAATATCCTGACTGCATATATATCATTTAACGTTCAAAAATAGGCTACAGATTCTTAGATTAGAATGATACAGACTTTTCACCGATTCGAGAAAAATTCCGAGATATGTTCAGGTGTGATAGAAACCAAACTAATCGATAGATCCACTCTTGAAATAATGCTTATCTTCTGAGGAGAAAAGAAGGCTTCTATTACTTACTCTCCTTTTCAGAGTTCCTGCTTTTAATTTCTATCATTCATCAGTGCAAGATGACCTTTAGGAGAAAATTGC